CACAATAACTGAAAGTGCCTTAAATACACGTAGATCTGATTCTGGGAACAGTTAAAAGATCTGTACCTGATGACCTGAGAGGTCTGACAGTGAGCAAGTCAGAGACGTACGGGGGGGGGGGAGCAAACCATAACTATTAAAATCATTTTAAAGGTAATTCTGCATTGTAGTGGGAGTCAGTGAAGTAATTTAAATACTGGGGTAATGTGGTTGAATTTCCACTTTTTACTGATGATTTAGGGAGTCTTGCAAATAGAGTGATGCAATAATCTAACCTGCTTGTTTCACGATCTGTTTGACGCTGATTACGTTTTGGAGAGAGGACCCAAATGCAGACGCTTGGAGACTAGACTAATTTTAAGTGAGCTGCTTACTAAGGCTCAATGAATTCATACAAAAACAGAAAACAAAAGGCAAAAGGAGACTAAGACTTTTGCTAACAGAAAACTAAACTGTAATATGAAACATGAGCAAAACACATGGTGGAAGAACTGACTTTCCGGCACAGGATAAGGGGAGATTGGGACAATACATACAGTGGCTTGCAAAAGTATTCAGCCCCCTTGAACTTTTCCACATTTTGTCACATTACTACGGAGCCCCGCAGGGGACATGGGCGGAAAAAAAATTAAGACAGACTTGCGAGATTTCGCAAAACTAACTCGGGATCTCGCAAAACAAATTCGGGATCTCGCAAAAGTCTCCCAACAATGGCAGCAGCTACTTAGTTGTAATATTACTCTTTCTGGGTCACAAAATACACTTTTAAGATATTTTGAGGTGTGAATGTAGTTGTGTAAACGTCAGATATCTGCTCGGTTTACAAGACATCACATATTTGTAAAAGTGCTCCGACGTTTTCGGAGATGTATGAAACTCGCAAAACTTTTGCAAGTTTGTTTTGCGAGATCTCGCAAAAGTCTGTCTTAATTTTTTTTCTCCCATGTCCCCTGCGGGGCTCCGTACATTACAGCCACGAACATGAATTGATTTTAGTGGAATTCCACGTGAAAGACCAATACAAAGTGGTGCACAGGTGAGAAGTGGAACGAAAATCATACATGATTCCAAACATTTTTTACAAATAAATAACTGCAAAGTGGGGTGTGCGTAATTATTGAGCCCCCTTTGGTCTGAGTGCAGTCAGTTGCCCATAGACGTTGCCTGATGAGTGCTAATGACTGAATAGAGTGCACCTGTGTTTAATCTAATGTCAGTACACATACAGCTGCTCTGTGACGGCCTCAGAGGTTGTCTAAGAGAATATTGGGAGCAACAACACCATGAAGTCCAAAGAACACACCAGACAGGTCAGGGATAAAGTTATTGAGAAATTTAAAGCAGGCTTAGGCTACAAAAAGATTTCCCAAGCCTTGAACATCCCATGGAGCACTTTTCAAGTGATCATTCAGAAATGGAAGGAGTATGGCACAAAACTGTAAACCTACCAAGACAAGGCCGTCCACCTAAACTCACAGGCCGAACAAGGAGAGCGCTGATCAGAAATGCAGCCAAGAGGCCCATGGTGACTCTGGACGAGCTGCAGATCTACAGCTCAGGTGGGGGAATCTGTCCATAGGACAATTATTAGTCGTGCACTGCTCAAGGTTGGCCTTTATGGAAGAGTGGCAAGAAGAAAGACATTGTTAACAGAAAACCATAAGAAGTCCCATTTGCAGTTTGCCACAAGCCATGTGGGGGACACAGCAAACATGTGGAAGAAGGTGCTCTGGTCAGATGAGACCAAAATGGAACTTTTTGGCCAAAATGCAAAACGCTATGTGTGGTGGAAAACTAACACTGCACATCACTCTGAACACACCATCCCCACTGTCAAATATGGTGGTGGCAGCATCATGGGGTGCTTCTCTTCAGCAGGGACAGGGAAGCTGGTCAGAGTTGATGAGAAGATGGATGGAGCCAAATACAGGGCAATCCTGGAAGAAAACTTCTTGGAGTCTGCAAAAGACTTGAGACTGGGGCGGAGGTTCACCTTCCAGCAGGACAACGACCCTAAACATAAAGCCAGGGCAACAATGGAATGGTTTAAAACAAAACATATCCATGTGTTGGAATGGCCCAGTCAAAGTCCAGATCTAAATCCAATCGAGAATCTGTGGCAAGATCTGAAAACTGCTGTTCACAAACGCTGCAACCAGACAACTGACTACACACAGGGGATGCTGGGGAGGACACACAGACACAAAGGGGCAAGACCCAGATTAAGACAAGTGAAGTAGACACTGGTAATGGGGATAAACAGACATGGAGACACGACAGGCTGGGGAGAACACAGACCAGACAGGGACATGACTGAGCTGAAAGAGTGAGACAGACAGAGACAGACTGGACATAAAAAAGGGGAACAGACATAAAAGCAAGACTGACTCACAGAAGGTTAGACATGAAGGGAGGAAAAACTAAAGATAACTAAAAACTGGGGGCTCACCTAAACATCACCTAAACAAACATTCACCTTAAGGTAAATGAATCCAAGAATCAACAGAATTTTTCAAACACTATAAAGTCCAGAAATCTAGATGCACTGGGTCGACCCAGAACCGTGACAACTTAATGAATTAATTTTTCATTTGAGAATTTTCTGTTGGGGTCATTTTGACCCAGATAAAAAATAATTGAAATAAACACAACCAGCCAGACCAGTGATAAAAAACCTCACCTAGGAGGTGCCCAGGATAAATTCTGGTCCGTTGCCCAGACAATCTTAATTGGTTACTTTTGTGGAGGAGTAGCAGCTCTAGTCTGAGCTCCTCCCAAATGACTGAGCTTACCCTACCGTTCAGAGGAAGCTCATTTGGATCACTTTCCAGTTTCCAGATTTGCTTCAGAGCCCAGAGTGAGCCCTTTTCTGGCTTAGGACCATGGCTTCAGACTTGGAGGTGCTAATTACTCCAATTCACATGACATCTGACTGCAAAATGCCCCAGGTGAATATACAGTAAGTACATTATCGGCAAAAAGCAGACAACATCCTGAGAGCACCAAACTTAACACCCTCCAGAAACTGAAAACAACTAGTTAAACACACATTGCAGTCAGTTAATGCACACAGATTCTCGCATCGTTTCATCCTTTCTCATCCACATCAGCATATGGGAGACCAAACAGTTGCTAGGTTCTTGTATATCTGTTTCAGGAGCAAAGGTAACACCTTTTTGGAGTAGATTTTTCAGCTAAGCATTGGACAGTCATATGAGCAGGTGGAGCTTTTCTCACTCCCAGGAGGGTCATTGTTACTTGGATTAAGGCTTGCAATGTGTCTGTAATGGCTCTGATTTTTATGCCCTCTCAAGTAGATCAGACAATTCTGATAGCTTTCAGCCTGGGAAGTTGCCCACCCAGAGGATAAATGCACCGACAGCATCTGAGTTTGCTTAATTGGATGCTTTTGACAGGGGTCTCCCTGGGACTCCAAAGCATTTGTATTTTTGCAAAGCAGTAATTAAAACATAACTAGAAAACAGTGATGTGGCATCATTCGAAATGAATTGATTGACAAAACCATTAAAAAAGTTGAAATAATAAAAAAGACGTCTAAGAGATACTGCAAAACATATACCTCTGGGGTCTCCGTGGACCTCAGTCAGTAGGATGAGGGCTAAATGTCTTTGAATGTTTTGAATTCCTCCTTCCACTTTGATACTTTATTCTTCTGGAAGGCTTTAATATTCTTGACTGGTATTGCGACATTTCCTTAGGTGCAAGACATGATCTGAGACACATCAATGGTGTGTGATGTGTCAAACAGCAGATCGGGAAGCGTCTACAGACGGCTTCAATCACAGCATCTTGACAGCTTCACATCAGTTCAAAAGTGGGGATGTTACCACAGATCATAGCTAGCCCGCTGCGACAGGGGAAAACCAACTAAAATCCAGCGTGATCGGGTTAGTCTCAGGCCAACAGAGTAAGAACAAAGACAGATGGCAAAGGAGTGGCACCATATTTTATCCTATCTGCATTTTGCCAACAGCTGATTTGTTTTCACACCAACGGCATTCACAGTGTGCCACGTGCCCCGAGCATGCTTTTCTGCAAGCACACATGCAAACACACACACACACATATATGCACAGATAACTCCTTTCACATAAGGACACTCAGTCAGAATCAATCAGTGAAACCTGACATTAGTCACAGCTCTGTTCTCGTCCTTTTTACTTTTGTGATTGAGGTGGCCGAGGACAGACGTGCCAGACGCCAAACCATCCCACTGCCACACTGAACGATGATGACAGATGAATACCTGCAAGTGACAATCAAAGTGCTCCCTCATCATCACAAATCCAATTTGGGCGATAGACCTTTGCACCCCTCCTCCCGCCAAACACGTACCCATCCTCTGCCGAGTTCATACAAGTCCCCCCCCAGCATTAAATTCAAGCTTCAAGCTGTCACATCGAGCCTGCAAACGTGATGCTAATGTGAGAGTGTGACTTGTAAGATTTGTTCAGTTGAGACTTGACGTCAGTCGCTGGCAGCCTGCCTCTGTGCTAATATTTGAGATGAGTCAATTAGCGGATGTGACAGAGGAAAGGATTAGCAACAGGTGTTTCTGCTGATATGCAAAGGTAGTGTACATTCAAAAAGGAAGGAGGACACTGTGTTCTTGATTTTTCTCTAGCAGTAATCTCATTTCTGATTCTTTTTCTTCTCATCTTTTTCTTGTTTTTCTGACTCTCACTTTCCTCCCTCCATGCTCTCGTCTTCCTTTTCTCATTCGTTTCCATATATTTCTTTTCTTCTCTTGTGCTTTCTTTTTTCATTTCCTTTCCTTTTCTTTTTACCTCTCATCTTTACCTTTGCTTTCCTTTCTGCCTTTGTCATTTTCTATCCTTTCTTTTAATCTTTGCTTTACCTTCCTTTACTTTCATCCCTTGACCGCCCTTTCCCTTTTTCTGGGTTATGACCTTTCCAACCTGCTTTTTTCTCTCATCTTCTGCTTGTCCTGCTGTTCTTCCCTTTCCTTTCCACCTCAGGGAGTGGTGGCTGCAGAGAAGACCAGAGGCGGTCAGCTCCTCGAGGAGCCAAAGATGTTGCCTTTCCGAGCGAACACCTTCAGCCTGCAGGTGTCCATCCAGGATGTTCCCCAGTTTCTATGGAGCATCAAACCCTTTACCACATGTCAGGTAACCACAGCAGGAAGTGACAAAACATGAACTGAAAACATATACTGTATGTAAGTGGTAATTTGCAAGTTTGTTCCCTCGAGCTAATTAGTGCGGTGTTTCTGCAAATTCTGCTCCTCCCAGGGTTGATTTATTAAGCAGCAGTCTGAGGAGTGTTTATACCTGTTTTTCCTGTTAATGAATTTTAGGGATTATCTAGTTGGCTTTAATTACTGTACTGTTGGATCTGGTAACCACGTTGTAAGATGCTTATTGAGGGAACTTTATTGTCGTTCACTTTTCATTAACATTAGTAACATTAGCACTTAACATTTAATTAAGATCAACAGTATATACGAGGTCCATATTATGGCCTCGTTTAAATTTTTTAAGCTGACGTTATGAAAAAGAATTTTTATGTAGATGACATTATGACATTTTGTGTGTAAATTTAAATCGCCTTTTGAGATTACTTAAATATTATCTGTGAATATTATTTCAATTTTGTTGTTTCTTTTTAAAAAATGTTTTAACACAAGCAGCATTTCTCACTACTTGACATTACTTCAGGCAGCAGCAAGTAATTGTTACTTAGCTGTCAGAATTAGCTTATCTTTTCTTTTTGTATAGAATATTTCTTTATACTTATTGGTTACCCACTTTTACTCACAAAGACAGTATCAGTTTGCACACTCCAGTTTTTGGTACCATCAGCTGATTCACTGTTGGTGTCACAGCTTTCCTGTTATAACTTGAAGGTAATTAAAAAAATAAAATGGTTATTTTCTACATTATAGAAAAAACAACTGAACAAAACAATAAAACAGATTTTTGAAACAAAAAATGGTCTGCTAGAATGAAAATAAAGAGGACCCTACATAGGTGTTAGGTGTAGTAGACAACAGTCAATGAGCTGACAAATCATCTATAATCGGCTCATGGCCATCCAGGATTAGACTGATATTTGGTCCAAATAAAAATTAAAACTAATAAAAATGAACATTTGTAAACACATTTTGATATGACTGTCATGTAAAAATACATCTACATTTAAATATAAGGGAACAAAGAAATTCATATTGACTGTTACTTTCGCCACAAAATAGTTCAAATTAATCAAAATAAACTTTTTTATGCTTAAAAAAGGGAATCTTTCTTTTTTTGTTATAAACAAAATGACATTTAATACCTAAGCAGACAACTGACTCATTACTCCAGTAATATTTATACACAATAATACATTGCACAATTTTAGTGAAATAAGGTTTATTATTTTCTTACCTCCCCATAAGTTGTCAAGGCTACATTTTTAAATGTTATTAAATGATTGTGATGTTCTGCTTTTTATTGGTTGCCATTTGGGTTTCAATGTGAGCTCATTTATTTTAGAGAGATATTGTTATAGGGGAAATAATTCTACTGTATAATCATTTTCATCTATTTCTCTGAGTATGGAATCCATTAGACATAATGGATTTGTATAATTTTCCTATTTTGTAAGTAAGAAACATCTGAATATAAAATGCTTTCATTTATAAATCATAGGGAACTGAAGACATCCTGCAGTCCTTTTGACATTTTGCCAGTCAGGTCCAAACAAACCTTTCAGATTTTGGTTTATGTGAACAGCCTGTTAAGTTTTCTTTGTGTTCAGCCTGGCTTAGGCTGCAGCTCAGCTAATCTCTTTCTTGTCTAATCAGTTTAGGTGTTCTGATCTATAATACATACATCAGTCCTAGGTAAAGCATATTTTTACATCTTTGTGACCTTAGAGAGAAATTCAGACAATTAAAATTTTTTCAAGTGATGTCATGCTTTAAAACTAGCTGCACAACCTCTTTGTAGTTCCTGGATTTGACCTGCATGGCCAATGTGAAGTAAATGGTAAATGGACTGATTCTTTACTCAAAGCATTTTACACAACATGTCTCATTCCCCCATTCATGCCCATTCATACAAGCACGTTTCCCTACATCCAGGGATCGAACGACCAACCTTTCAATTAGTAGATGACCTGCTCTCTGCAGTCATTGTGTGAAATGTACATCACCATCAGCTGCTGAGCCCTGGTGGGGTCGGTGTCCTTAGTTCCATTGTTTTGGTGCAGATGCACTAAGCTGTCACTGCCTGAATAATAAGCTTGGTTGTTACTACTGAGAAGTGTTGCTAATGTGTGTTAAAGGCTTTCACCTAGTTGTAAAAGGATGTCGGTAAAATTCAGCTGAGGAGCCACAGCTGCCTTTTATTATGTCCCTGGACCCTTAAGGTCCACCCACAGTGCTGACAGTCCAAATGGAAGTGCCTGAAATCTGTATTCTTTTTGATGGCGAACAAAGGGAATAAAAAAGAAAAGTCCATGGGAAAAACAATCTTGATCTTGATAATGTCATATTAAAAGTAAGGTTCATGTTGCTATTTTTTAATTAGTCATTATTAGATTCATAAAGGAAGGTAAACCATGATATGCTCATGTATTAACAACAAAAATAATTAATGGGAGGATAGGGTCAGGACTGAAAACTTGGTATAAAAATCAGTGCCATATCAAACATGTGGGTCTATGTGTTGTGGGGAACCCTTGGAAAATGGGGAAGCTACTGACAGTACTGTGATATGGTTGCATTGACATGACAGCACAATTTTGATGGGCCCTCAGAGGGTTGGTGCAAACCCAAGGCCCTCTTTAAGCTATGCCCCCATATATAATAAGACACTCACAGCAGAAAATTATTAATTTAGGCTCTATAACGTTCCAATTACGTTTGTTTTTGGTCTTTCTGCACCATTTTGTCTTTTAAACTGCTCTTTTAGTGTGACTTCTGCTGTAAAGTGGCTTACAGGCACCCACTCTCTCTCTTTCACACATGGACCATGAAGAAGGATGTGAGCAGTGATTAATAGCTCTGTGTTTGCTTTGCTTTCAGGGCCATTAAGAGCAAACTGTATTAGATCAGTGGCCTCTGTTTGTGTACCTGTTGTCCCCACTGTAACACCGCTGTGACTTAAAGATGTAAATACAGGGTGAAAGCGCTTCAAAGACACCTACCCTCTGCACCGCCTTATTTATGAAGGCCTCAGGACGGCAGGCAGCGCCAACCTGCTTCGCCCGAGCAGGTGCAGAATAATAGCAGAGCATCGAGCCATACATCAAGTCAGCTAAAGAGCATCCCAGCTTTTCTACGTCCATCACCCCCCCCATCCTGTTCGCCTATGCTTCCAGATTCCATTATCTTCTGTCGTGAGCCTCACTGGGCAGCCCAGATCAAAGCCACATGTGCTAAGTCTGCCACACAGACAGGTCACTTTGCAAGATGCAGATATGGCCGAGATGGAGTTGAACAGAGGTCAAGGACATTTCCTCAAAGATGTGCCTCCTCCACTGAAATTAATTATACATCAAAGGCAAACTTCTTCGTCTGCACCTAATTCGTCCGTACAGTAGACTGCTTACAGCACAGCTGCTTCTGTTATCAGAGTAACTCTGCTGGGATTCAGGCTCTATTTGCAAATCTTATCATGACTACTTCTTTGTCTCTTTAACAGTTGTTATTTCCATGCATAAATACATCAAACCCTGGAATCACTGAAACTTCAAAGCCCACTCTTACCTTTTATCCTGCCTCATGTAAGTGGCTGTGTATGTGATGGTGTGGCCACGTGTAGAACAGTGCCCCAAATCATCTCATTTCAATGTGGCACTGAAAGTGTTTTACAGATCTCTCCGACCAGAGTCAAGGTTTGTGAGAGCAAATGAGAAGTGGAAGAATGCATTCCAATCGTGCATGCAAATCCCTAAAAACAGTTTAAAGAATGAAAAGATAAAGTACAACTTTTCAAGTTAGTAAGTAGTGGTTTAATTATAACCCAGGTTTTTGTAGCTGTCGTTCCAGCTTTCAGAGTCTATTCAGTTCTAGTATCTTGTTTTTTAAAGTGCAGTTCAGACTTTCATCTCCGTGACCTTTGACACAGACAATTCAGGAATTTCACAAATACTTCATCTGCATTTGATTCAACAGAAAAGAAAATTTAATTCAGTCAGTACTCAAATCAGTTTAGCACATATCAAGAAATCAGCAACAGTTAATTTTCACAGTTCAGCGTGTAATCACAACTTTGAGATACAATCTAGTTCCTCTGGAAAACACAAAAATAATGGTTTATTCCTACCACACAAAGTCTGAATCAACATGCTTAATTCTGGAGTGTCATACCAACCCTCTACATGGCTGTGAATCCTCTCTGTGCTCCTTGTCTTTCCCTGGAAGCTCCATATTCAACATCCTTCTTCTGTACATGTGCAAACTATCTCAACCTTGCCTCTCTAACTTTGTCTCTAAACCACGGAAAACAAAAATCTTAACGCCTTCAGCGCTTGGCTTTTTGCTTGTGTCACAGTCTCCAAACCCTGCATTATAGTAGCACTCACTACCACCTTATGACTCAATTAGAGTTCTGTGTTGAATCTTTGTCGACTCTTCAACATAGCCCACAAAAGTGACCAGCATCATTGCCAACAGTCACACTTGTGGGTGGTGCATTATGTGTTAATTACCATGTGGTAGTGTCCGGGTGCTTTATACACAGTGTCAGCCACGATAAAAACAAATAAAATGCTGGGACACTCTTTATTGTGATCTTCTTCTTGGGGAGTTTTTTGGATGCAAACACTCTCTTCACTCTTCCACCTGCTCCCTACTTTCACTACAGATCACAATGTCATCTGCAAACATCATAGTTCAAAAAGACTCCTGCCTGACCTCATCAGCCTGTCCAACACCACTGAAAACAAGAAGGGGGTCAAGAAGAGCCAATCCCTGATGTAATCCTATGTGTTGCTTATGCAAGTTGTGCAAAAATATAAATGCAAATACAAATGGCTGTAGAGCCCCCAGCCCAACCTCACTGGCCACATTATGCTTGACAGGAGGTGAATGACAAGCCAACACAACACCAAAGCAAACCACACATGAGCGGGCATGACAACACTTTTGGTGCATGGTAACCTGCTAAACAGTGAGCTCAGCAAGCAAAAGCTTTCAATTCGAGCTGCACTCTGCAGTGGTGGTGGAATCACCTTGTTTACTACAACATTCATTCATGTCGCCTGTTCATGCATGTAGTTCAACAAATCTTTTTTTTTAAATTAAAAAAAAAAACAGCTGCAGAGACAAAAGTTGAACACAAGTCATATCAGAGAATCAAATATAAAATTGATTATAATCCATTGTCCCCAAAAACTGGCCTTTCTGTTGCTCGTACAAATCTCCTATTCATTCTCACCTTTACCAGCAAGTGGCGCTGTGGTTACTGTGATTTCCTGTTGCTGATACACTTAAACAAAAGGTAAAATGGCAAAAATCTTTTATAACACGAAACACTCCAAAAGCACAAATCCCCGTCAAGGCCACTCACTCTCTGAGAAGTATTTACTTTTAAGGGAATAACATTGGTTTTTATGCACTTTAAGACATTTCTAGTGCAGTAAAAACAAGTGCAAAGGCTTTTCCTATTTACCCTGTTGAAGCCAATTTTAATATACTTTATTTTTTTATGAATATGCTTTATGTATTGCATCCATTTTATTGTTTAGTAAATCATTTAAATCTTTAGCAATAAATAATTTTTTTTTACACAGTTCATTTAATTTTTTCAAAAACATGTACTTATGCATTGATGTGTATTCTAACTGTTATAACCTGTTATTGTAATGTACATAACAAAGCCATAATAAAGTAATATGATATTTAGAGTCCCCATATATCATTCCCTTTATGTCTATATGTTCTCAGTACAAACAATGGCAGTGAGAAACAGAGTTTTAAATAGCTCTATATAGCAGCATTATTACTTTGACCTTTAGATTAATCCAGAGGTTCCCAAAGTGTGGGAACCTCTTCCCAAACCTGCTAACATTATGGACAGGTTTTTGATGGGGCGCCCACACAAACGCAAAGCAGGAGATGAAGCACCGCTAAATATGTTTCCAAACCAACTTCCTTCCAAGCCAAATATGGTGAAGCATATCTTCACCTGCACAAGTGCCAAGGCAGGATTGGTTTTCCCTGCGTCGGGAGCACACGCTGGGCTCTCCAAATCACGGACAAACAATATCCCACATTCTAGATTTTTAGTTAACAAACACTTCTTGTAATGACTAACTACTCCTGACATTTTGGAGATGTTAGCTCTTTATACAGTAAAGTTACAGTGGGATACAAATAACATCAGGCTGATCCCGCCACGATTTGGTCCCCCTGTCCAAATCACGGACAAACAGTATCCCACAGTTGTTTATGTTTTTGAACCCATTTTGCACAGAGAGGCATTTTTTGAAAAATGTATTGATAGCAATGTTGAATATTATTACCCAGGAAAAAAACAACTACACGTAAAATAATCACACCGTGACGCCGCTGCCTTTCTAAATGGAAGGATAGTAACTGTGTTTGTAGCCTGTAAAACCTGCAGATAGTCAGATTAACAGTATTTTGCCTCTATCTGACATTCTGCAATTAATCTCATGTAAACAATAACGTGGCGCACAGCGTGATGTGAAAAAAGGCACATACCTTGACATTGTTTGACGAACTGTATTCCTCGTCCACACGTAAACGCAAAAAAGGAGTTTTACAAAATCTCCATATTCGTTGATTTGAAACGCTGTTTACGTGTGGACGAAAGGCCCAAACGCATTGAAACAGCTGCATTTTCAAAAATACCCGTGTAGGTTTGGACGTAGCTTAAAGAGTTAGTAGTTTATTTTATTACTACCTGATTTTATTGCAGTTTACTTGTATTTGCTTAATTGTTTACTAAATGTTTGAGGTGGGAAATGAACCGCATTGAAGTTTGAAAACAAAATATGGGTGTGTGTGGTGGGAGGATGTGTTTGCGTGGTAGAGGGGCGAGAAAAATTTTCTTGTAAAACAAAGGGGGCCTAGCAAAAAAAGTTTGGGAACCACTGGATTAATCTATTGACTTTACAGGAGAGGTTAAATCTGACATGTTGTATTACAATCTTATACAGTATGTTCTACGCGTTGACAATACACAGCACACTTAACATAAGAATCATAGTTTCTAAGTTACAAGGCTTCTTGTCAATTTTAGACCAATGAATCATTGAGTTGACCTTGATGACCTTGGTGGATGTAAGCCATATTTTAATGAATTGTTAACATGCCTCCACTCTATACTCCTACAAAGTTTAATGAGAATTCATTCAAAACTTTTTGAGCTGTTGTGTTTATAGACTGAATGATAACACACACACACATACAGGTACTCCTACAGTCCAAAGGTTAGGTTAACTGGTGATTTTAAATTACCCATAGGTGTGAATGGTTGTCTGTCTCTATGTGTTAGCCCTGCAATAGAGTAGTGAGGGTGTACCCTACCTCTCGCCCTATGGTAGCTGGAATAGGCTCCAGCTCCTTTGTGACCCTGAATTGGATAAACAGGAGAGATAAATTACAACTGTTTATATTTGTACACTTCATCAACTATACAATATCACTTGGTTTTATATTAACATAATGTATAATTTGGGTTAGGTCATATTGACCATTGAGTGTGATGTCGCTGATCTATTCTCTCTCTTTTCCCTCCTCAGGAATTCTCCTTCCCCCAAGTGTGGTGCAGCAACCAGCAGCCCCTGTACTGTGCCTTCTCTCTGGAGAGATACAGCCCTGTCACCGCCCAGCTCTCCTGCAAAATCAGCGTGCGCCAGGTCAAAGGCCATGAGCAGATTCTGCAGGTCTATACGGCTGTGGCCGAGGTGAGGCTCTGAAGCTGTGGGGAGGGTGTTTCACTTTTTTCACTCAACCTTTTTGTAACCTTCCTGGAGTGTGTACACCAGAGCAGGACCAGCTCTCCTGAGCTTGAGCTGTGTATTAATAGAGCGAGGAGAGCACTCTTCCTTCCCTTCTTTCCAAAAACAAGATCCAGCTGTTTGGTGCATTTGCTCTGTGTTTTTTAACCTCTGTTTGTCCAAGAGGACGCATGTTCCGGCAAATAGCCGCCTTCACGTTCACATACACCAACACCTGGGAGCTGCCTGCTGTAACAACAGCTTTCTATCAGCTGCTGAACAGCTCCACCGGAGCAGCTAGGAGTCAGGAATACTCACTCAAGAGCACCTTGGCAGTTGCTGTTAAGGCAGAAGAGAGTGCTGCTCATTGATTTCACCCAACTGCTTTTTCCACAACCAGTCACAAATGCGCTTGTCCTACCTCAAGGCCACCAGTACTAATAAAAGTCACAGTCAGACGTGAAATATTATTTACAATGACTTTTTATGGTTTGATTAAATTTTGCCTTGATGATTAGTGGAGTTTGTCAGACAGGAAGAAGAAAAAAAAGCTTTTATAGGTGTGATGTGTTGAATTCAAAACATCAGCGGTTTCAGTTTGGTAAATACAGCAAACAGGCGTTTCCAGAGGTCTGCAGCATGTTTTACAATGCGGGGCCACCATGTTGAACGGATATCATTGAAAACAGCTTTACCACTTCTTTGCACCAGAGCGAACCATACTCAATCCATCCAAATCTTGCTACATTATCTCAGGATTGCCGAAAGTCTGTAAAAAGACATAGATGTTATAATGTTACTCCAACTATATGCTGTTAGACCTAAATGGAAGGAGAGGACTCAATGATATTATATTAGTAACAGAGCTCAAACAGCACACTGCTTTCCTTTTAAATCGCTTGCCTATATTAGGTTAATGAGTAAACTGGTTTTGTGAAAGATCCAGTTAAAAAGAATACCAACTGAACGTTGCTTATGAGCTCTCTCTCACAGGGCAATCAATCCTGCTTTTCCCCCAAAGGTTTCATAACTGCTGCCACAAGTAATTTCATGGTTAAGGCTTGTCTACTGCACTTTTAACATTCATCCATTCGCTTCCGCTTATCCTTTTCAGGGTCGCGGGGGGGCGCTGGGGCCTATCCCAGCTGTCATAGGGCGAGAGGCAGGGTACACCCTGGACAGGTCGCAGGGCCAACACACAGGGACAGACAACCATTCGCACTCACATTCACTCCTAGTGACAATTTGGATTATCCAATTAACCTATCCCCACAGGCTGCATGTCTTTGGATAGTGGGAGGAAGCCGGAGTACCTGGAGGGAACCCACGCAGACACGGGGAGAACATGCAAATTCCACACAGAAAGACCCCGGCCTGATGGTGGAATTGAACTCAGGACCTTCTTGCTGTGCGGCAACAGTGCTAACCACCATGCCACCGTGCTGCCCACGTTTAACATATTTAAAAAAATTTCAGGACTTCCACATTAAATTTGACTTGATTTAAATTAGTTTTAATTACTTTAAACGCAGCAGTGACACCTATCCTCAGATTCTTAGAAACTGACCAATAAAATAAAAATTACAGAATCCTCGTTTTTCTTCCTGTTGGCTTCCAAGTGTTTTAAAGCCATTTTACTATTCTCTAAGCTTTAGTATTGTGATAAAAAAAAAAAACATATTAACTGTCCATGATCATGATTAATCACATGCTGTTTTATGTTACGGTGCTCGTATCTTGACTCGACTTTGTGATAACTAACTTTGTGTGCTATGTTAGTAATGCTGGCTTGCATCCACATTTGAACCAGTGCAGGCAACTCTTCCACTGGGCATGTGCAGAAGACACACAAAGAAGAAAACAGCGCACAGCAAGATTTTAACATGTTTTATTTATAGATCACAATCCAGCAATATGTTTCAAGTTATGACCTCAGCACTCACTGAGCAGAAACCAGACTGTGAAGTCAGTAAGGCATTCTTGTGTCAGTGTGCTGTCTTCTTCCTCTTCTTCTTCTTCTCCAAGTTTAGTTCACAGAGGCAGTCAAATGCAGCACTACTGCCCCCTGTGTTATGACAGCATTTTTTTCACACCTCCATCCATTTTATTTGGATGGACGCAACTTTTATTCTGTTTTGGTAAAAAAAAAAAAAAATTATTAAATCTGAAATCTTGGTATGGTCAAATGAAAATGAGAATGAGGCCACAGAAAACTGATACTCCTTAAACTGTCCACATGTAGGCTTAAAAGATGGTTTTCATGGTTTGATCCACAGGCCACAGGAATCCACAGATTGAGAAGTACCCCCATACACCAATCACTTTTGTCTCATTGGCTTACAGTCTGTTTACTGATCTTTTAATGTGTAAAAATATTGTCCGAAGGGTCCTGACCCAGTAAACCTCAACTATTTGCAGAGTTGCAAATCCTCTCTGGCCCTGGTCTGATTAGTCTGCTTCTGTTCTGTTCCTCCAGACCGAAAAGGAGTCAGTTCCATTTTTTATGCAGACAGACTGCACCATCACGTCCCAGACGGGGCCCAAGGCCTTCAAAATCCCCCTGTCCATCCGCCAGAGGATCTGTGCCACCTTCGACACTGCCAACGCCAAGGGCAAGGACTGGCAACTCTTAGCCCAAAAGCTCCACTTAGATCGGTGAGTGTATGATGTGCATCCTCTTTGAGGCCGCATGATCTGTGTGTGTGTGTGTGTGTGTGTGTGTGTGTGTGTGTGTGTGTGTGTGTGTGCCCTCTGTAATGAACACAGGCTGATGACCAGAGATGGGTAATCCGATTAGTTTTCAAGTAAAGCGTGGAAGTACTGACCTTACTTTGAGTTTGATTCCGTAAAAAGTGACAAAAACATTAGCGTCCACTGTTCACTGCGTGGGAAGTAAACTTATTTTTACAGTGAAAAAAACCCTAAACTTCCGAGCAAGCACCGAGTACGCTGCCTTGGAATGGGCAATTCACAGAGACACTTGCGGATTCTTCCACCCACCGATGCGGCACACCTGCACCAGGGCAAACATCCGCCCGCCCCCACTCCTGCTAAACAGGTGAAAATAGAGCAACACGACTGCTGAGTCTTTGATTTCATTTATTTTCTGCTGTGTTTTACTTGCATCTATTTGAAAGAATTTTTCCATTTGATTACATTTTATATGATGGATTATGCAGAAAAAGTAGAATTGGGCTGAAAGATCTATCGCTTTATCACCTATTCAGGTTGTAAATCATGTTTTTAAAAAGTAACTAAGTAACTAATAACTAATTACTTTTGAAAATAAGTAATCAGTAAAGTAATGGGATTACTTTTGGGGAGAAGTAATCAGTAATTAGTTACTGATTACTTTTTTCAAGTAACTTGACCAACACTGCTGATGACAGTGATAAGACTCCTGTGGGTGTTGATAAGCTGCTGAATGTAGCTTCAGGTTGCTCATGCTCCCTGAGCATCAAGAGAGACGGCTGATTGTTTAACTGTATGGCACGTGGTGTAACTGACTGTGGGATGCTGTGGAACATCATACACACTCTGACACCTATATCCACTCTACTTTTGAAACATAAACAGTGCGAAATCCAGTGAGCCTCCAACATTTCTGTCACTCTGACCACTTACTTCTTAGCTGATTTTTTTCTTCTCCCAAACACAAATATGCATTTTTGATGAGACGCTGCACTCTTATTTCCCTGGCCCAGTTGTTGTCTTTGCTTGGCCTTAGCTGGTGTCAGCTATGATCTCCTGTTAAGTGCATGATTCATGAGATGCTGCTATCTAAGAGTCTTTTGGGATTTCTAAATTATCCAGATAAGCTTTCCTCTCCAAGTTGGGCAGCTTTGAACTGAGCCTGATGTGACCAATCGTTGCAGTTTTTTTGTGCTGCTTGCTGTTGTGTCTCTTGTGAAGAACCACACAGCGGCAGTGAAACACTGCCCCCAGCTGGACTCCCTGCTCAGTGAGACACAAAGGCATTGTACTGTATTGGCATGGCAACAAGCTTTAGTTTTCCTTTCCTTTGGCAGAAGCTGAGAATGAAATATAAAGCAAACTCTGTTCAGTGGTAATCACTTGCGGTGGTAATTTATTCTTAAAGGGTCGAACTTTTCATTCTAGGTACATGGAAAAGCAGATGGTTGTGTTTACTGCAGCGAGACACTCTTTAGTTCTATTAATTTACAGTTAGCACTCAGTATTCTGATTTTCTAAGAGTCAAATAAAGGGGATTCAATGACCCAAATGGGTTTAATATTAGGATTTTAAACGATCAATTTTGGGGCCATTATAGGTAACTATTGTTTTTTAGTGGATTCCATAACCAGGGTCCTAAAACAGTGGTTTCAGAACCACAAAATGAAACTAAGTTGAATTAACCTGATATACAGGGAAAATAAACAAAAAGAATTTACTGAGGTTATTGGCCAAGGTTTAACTGTTTTATTATATGCAATTGATTGGTTTGATTCTGCATGTGCCAGAAGTCCCTCCGAAGTGTGTGATCAAGCTCGTGACCAGGGTTCTTCTGAACTCTGCTGAGGCTCCTTTTTGGTAAATTATTAAATTAATAAATGATTAAACTGCCAATATGTCTTGTGTCTTCGGACTTCAATCATCCAATCCAATAAACAGCACCGAACAGGAGCCAATAGCAGAATAAGCTGTTTAGCAGTGGCAGAGATAATGTTGCAAGTTTTTCATTGATGCAACCCACATACTCAGGTCTGCTGCTCAACCCACAAATACATCCTCCTTACAAGTCTGGCACTATTTGAGGGAAATAAGCTGGCTTTCCAACAGTATCAGATTTCTTGGCAAGAAGCATTGTTACAACAAAGAAATAATCAACCAAACACAAATGTTCTTATTTTTTGTCCCAAGTTTACTTGGCAGCTTCTGGTGGCTAGGGAAAATTCAGTGTTTTCCACTCAGGTGTGAGCAGTTGCTGGCAGTCACTGTGAAATTAATCACCGTAGCCCCAGTCATGCAGGCCTAAATTGGTGTTTTTGTATTAAAACACAACTATAAAGTGTAAGAGCAGTTGGAATGACCATGTAAAATTTTTGTCTTGGTCATTTTCATCAACATATTACGTGCACTGTATTTGCATTCAGATTTTGAAACATTTAAATAAAAGATGATGTCATCTGCAAAGGAAAACATCACTTAAATGTAAACCTGGGAGCCAAAAGGAGAACAAACAGGCAACCTGGGGGAGAGGGAGGGGGAATAATTGGGAACAGATGGAGCTAATTAACAGAGGTGAAAACAATCAAGGCGGGGTAGTCATTACTGCAGTGGAAGGAAAACAGACAAGGACAGGAAGTAAAAACAGCAAAAGGTCTACAGTTATCAAAATAAGAGAAGAAGTCACAACAAAGACAAATAAAAGTAGACACAGCCCGACAGGACAAAATGCAAAGAAACTAACAAAAGATGAAAAACATTGATGGTAAATCACAGGTTTGAACTCAGCATTTTATGACAGGCCACGATGGATTTCTCAGAGTACTCTGTAGAGTAGCACGGATACGGGTTCTTCTTGCCATTTCTTAAAAATTCACCTTAAATAATGTGTAAATGCACAGTCAGCTAACAATAAACAAATCAAAGATTTGCAGCAATGACCATTATGAAATACCTTGTAATGGTCTGCTGTCCCTTGAACAGGGGTGGGCAACATGAGAAACTGGGACGAATTAGCTGAACACAGGTCTGTTCATTAGTACCTATATTTATTTACAAACTACTAATAGAGTGGATGTTGGGAAACAGGGAGAGTATAAATCCTCCCTTTTCTGACATTTGAAAAATTTAACCCACACTGTGCTACTTCCTGCCTTTTTCAATTACTGTATATAATGATATTAAGATTTATGCTTATGTTTCATACTTTTGTTCTTATCTCTTTTCAGTAGCTGTTTAGTGGTTGAGCTTTTTTTTATTTCCATTAAGTTTTTGCTCTCTGTAACTCTACACACAGTGTTTCTGTTTCTACTTCCATTTGTTTTTTGCACTTCTTAGTGCACCGTGGAAAAGGCACAAGAATTTCTGTCAAGATAAGAACTCTATTAATCCTATCTCTACCTAAAAATGTCAACATTTTACCAATATTTAATCAGCAGTGCCAGAAACAACTGTGCATGTTTTTGCCAAAGTTAAAGACTTCAAACTTTGTACAAAGCAAATAGACTGCTTCTAGTATACTGCTGCACTTTTCTACTCTACTTGAGCACTCAAAGCATTTTATACAACACGCCTCATTTACTCTTACACACCCATTCATACAAGTACAAACAAGTGAGAACATTCACACTCTAATAAACACATCGGAGAGTGTGAAGGTTAGTATCTTAATACTTTGCTTAAGATCACAGCATCTTGCCCAAGGATACTTTGGCATGCAGACTGAAGAACAATGGAAGAAATCTATTTGGGTTGGAACACCGGGGCTCAAGTCAGATTTGATGCCTGAGGTGGAAATACATGTGGCCATCACTGAGACAGGCCCTTAATGTGGGTTTGTTAAACTTCATCACTGAGAATGCTTGTTCACATATGAAAGTAGATCCGAGAGAACCAACATCTTCTGGATCATGTCTCCTTATGTGTGGATGTGAGTTCTCCTTTTTGAGAGAAGAATACAGGTACAGCAGTTATACTGACTTAAACAACACCTCCTGGTGTTTAAAACAATGCAAAAGTACCAATTTTCAGTTCCAGGTTTACTTTATCTTGCATCATTTCAAAAGTTCAACATTTTGCCTGACTTGGACAACCATCGGCTGAAATGGGCTATATCACGGACATCACAGAGCCAAGGAGAAAAAGTCAAAATTGTCCGCTTTATTATTCAACTGAAGCTCCAACTTTCCCAAACTGTCCTTGATCCATCTTATTATGGTTCACCTGGAGAGGGGCATATTCCAAATGTTTTTTTTCTCAGGGCGTATTAGTGCAGCAGAGTCCATCAAACACTCTTTGACAATCTCCCCATCAGAGAACGAGTTATAGTTGTTTTTGTGAATTTGTGAAATCACAAAGCTACTCTTGGCAGCTTCATCTTTCGATGTGTATAACGTGGTCAAAGGTCCTTGTTGCTTTTTCTGCTTTGCCAGCAAAGGTTCAGATGTCCGTTCCAGCTCTGGATCAGTCAAGTTTTTGTATTCCTCAATTCAAACTGTAAACCTTAAACACAGCTTTAAAGTGGACAGCTTTACCTCTGACGTCAGTAAATAAATACTCAGACGTCCACATGAGTTACTCTTTTTTTAATGTGATCTCACGTCTTTTGAGGCTGTACTCTCACATCTGTCATAAACGTGGGTTCCAGTGCATTTGCAGTGAAGCTCCATTCACAGGCATACGTAATGTAGAAAAATAGCAGTCACTTTAAAATTAATAGCAGCCAGCTGACTTGTGATTTCCCACAAAATTGCAAAAAACAGTAAGCGGAGTTTAGTTGAAGACTGTTTAAGACCCCACTGAAGTCACGCGCACAATGCCCAGGTGTGCCCTTCTAGGAACAGATTTCATTGTGAAATAAAATATGATTTGAAATACATGTCACATTGCTTTGAAATTTCCAGTTTCATGTTCTCAATAGCTGGTAAACGACATGAAGCCGGAACAGTAGATACAGAAGATCTTTCTTACAGAGTTCATTTCTAACTTTTTTAAGGCTCTTTAAAAGTTCAAAATGCTGCTGTGCCTTCACTCTAGTCTCGCTCGTTAGCTGCTAACCTTTACTGTCCAAAACAAGCCTGCAGTGATGAGGGGGAGGCAGACAGAGACACAGTTCTAAACGTTGCTTGAAACAGACGTCTTTCTTCTCGTTCTTTAAGGGCAGCAAACACTTTACACAAAAACGGATCATTTTAATGTCAGTGGCACTGCTATAGCCCTGCCAGTCTGGACTAAACTCTTCAAGAAGCTAGTTATTTTAGGTGTATGATAGGGAACAGGGAAAAAGCCTCAGCATTAATTTTTATGGTCACAAGACCAAAAGACTGCATTTAAAGGCTCACCAATCAAGTCTGATAAATTAGAAACTGCTTCGAAAGATCAAAAATGTTTTTCCATGCAAGTTAGGCATCCTCTGCGCATGTTGGTGAGTGGTTTTTGGAGCTTGCTGGTTAAAGTTATTCCTCACTGCTGAAACCAGATCATTTGCTTTGAAGGCAAATGATCTCAGTTTGTTATTTGCATCACACTATTCACAGTTTCACAACCACAAGTAGTTGCTGAATGTTAACAGACAATTGGGATGTTCTGTACCAACTTTTGCTGCAGCACCATATGCCTCTTCTTTATTCCTCTTACATATACTGCTTCCATATACTGAAAGCACCCTGTATTTCCCAATTGGTTGCCAGCCAGTTAAAGAACACAAATTTTTCCCTAGCTGGTTACTAGGGGGACACTAACTTGTCTTTATTCCTGCATGATTCCTGCACAGCAGCTACTTGCAGCTTTTAAGGAAATACATTTCCCCCCCTAGCAACCAGGTTGCCAGGCAGTCACCAATCAGTCACTAGGTCTATGTGACTGGGGTCTTGGCAAGATTATAGCCTCAGTAACAGTCCAATCCATCATCGCGACATGATTAGCATCTCTGCTGATTCCATCACAGCATTCAAGAAATGTTGTGCTAATTCATGTGTGTGGATACAGTAGGCTTAAAAAAAGAGCTGACGTGAACCTCTACTGTGGGCATGCATCAGCTAGCTGAACCTGAGTAAGTGCTTCTGCAGAACATAATGATCATTTTCCATGATTTTAAAGTTAGGCGGGGTGTGCACAAAAAGGAGAGCAGCAATGATGTAACGACAGAGGAATGTCAGGGAAATTCAATGATTTGTTGCGCAATCAGGCAAAATACTTGTTAGTAACATGAAGTGGGTGTCTCCCAAGTGAAACCTTTCTCACCATTTGATTGACAGTTGATGGGGCCTTAAATATCTTACTGTGTTATGTAGGTGACTGTTACTAGCGACTAACCAATAGGCACACAGTGACAAGCATACAGTTTTATATGTAGATTCTGGTTAACTGGTTGTGCAATGAAAAGTCATATTGTGTAAGGACTCCTGTAGCATGTGTGCACATAGGAAGCAGGCGAACTACCACGAGTGATGGACTAGCAGATTTACACATTTACATTTAAACTTTAAGACCACCTGATAAAGTCATTAAAACATTTTTTTTCTTTTGCAAGTTCCTTGTATGTGGCATCTGTAATTAAACAGTTACTTTCATGTTCCTGTATGTGCTCCTCTACAGAAACCTGGGGTATTTTGCAAAGCAGCGGAGTCCGTCTGCAGTCATACTAAGCCTGTGGGAGGCTCGTCACCAGGACACTTCTGACCTTGACTCTCTAGCCAGTGCCCTGGAGGAGATTGGAAAGATCCACTCCAAAAGTTCCCCCAAGGACCAGGACGAGTGCGAATCTGACTCCATTCACATAGAAGCAAGCAGTCTGTACGGAACAGGCAGACTAACCAGTCAGAATACAGAGGACTGCGCTTCTGAATACACGGGCTGAGAGAGGAGAGAGAGCCAGTAAAAACTGACAGACTGACGTATATATCTGTGTACGCACACAGTCAGTGATGGACAACACACTGCGGCGGTGCAGTAGAAGGTCACGAGGTGAGTAGACGGTGCCAGTGTTCAACACGGCGACCGATCACAACAGGTCGAGGTGAGCTGGCACCTGCTGTGGATCTGCCCCTCTCTTTTAAGAACCCGTCTGAGGCTGGACTGTAAATCTTTGTCTGCCTTTCCACTCAGTCCTTTCTGTTTGTTTCTAACTTCTTTTAATTTAGGTTGATGTGAATTTATTCCCCTTTGTGTCTGCTATTGTCTGAAACCGCGTTAGAGGAGAAGGGAGCTCCTTTTCCAGCAGTCCACACGCTTGCATATAAGTCTGAATATGCAAATAAGATGATACAACTGTGGCGTAATGTTAGTCACCTATGTTTGATCTGACACTCCCCTTCCCGTGTCAACAAATGAAAAAGGACTTAAAAGCTAGTTTTTCTTTTCTTTTAATGTCCACTGTTATATTTTTAATGGGAAGCTCCTGATTGCTTAAATGTTGTGATAGTGAACTTTCAAGGCAGGTATCTTCAAAATCACCTGGTTTTATTTAAAAAAAAAAAAATCCCAAAACCGAAATTTCAGCACTTATGTGATCATTTATGCAAAAAATAATCATAAATATATCATCCCCAGTTGTACTCGGAAAAAAAGTAAGAAAGAAAACGAGCCGTTGGTTGTGGCGTAATGTGGCAGAGTGAGATTTCTAACCGTGGCATTACAATTCATTACAGTTGCCTCCTGCGGCAGATAGAGAGGGAGGAAGCTGTAAAACATCATTTCCTGGCACCGCGGAGAGGTCATCGCTATGTCTTATCATCCACTTCCCACCATTAACACCCGTCACACAGACCTCATATCAGGCCCTGACACACCCAGCTGCCCCCATGTCTACCACCCACCCACACAAGTACACAACTCACACACCACACTGACATTTCGCGGCTGTAGAGGTCACATATTTTCATATTATTCAAAAAACAACAAAGGAATACAGACAGTGTCAGACATATATAACATACAGTAACAGTATATAAGGTATATAAATCCTACGCCATGCTGAGGGAATAAGGGAAAATGTCATAGTCATGTGAGGTAATGGTAAGTGAAACTTTTGATGACCTCCAGGTCAGAATAGATTGAAATGTTAACCCCTCATCTTTATATTTGAACACACACTAAGGTTGAAGCTGTCAGAGCTTTAGCTGGTGTTTGTAGAAAAGTGTTTTTGTAATTATTTAAGACTCTTAATTCAAGGTTCAATTAAGTACTTTTTATCTCCAAAAGTTGATTCTGTTCATCTGGACGTAGCGTTTTGTGGGAGAAACGTTTCTGATGAATATATCTGATGTATTTTTTACATCAGATATATTCAAAAACAACACCCAGTGTTCTTGCAGCGGAGAGATTTGTATGAGTGAAATCACAGCGGGTCTCATAACAACCTTCACCTTGCCAGAGAGGTGCATGCTGGGTGAATAAGGCCAAATTATGCAAAATTATATTTTCGCACGTACTCCTGGCAGTCTCTAGCCGTGAACTTTCAGGTTAGAATTTTCTGATATGTGCCACTGTCTGCAACCCTGGTGAACGGAATGTCCTTTGCTCTACGCCTAGCAATGAAAAATTCCACCGAGAGTCTCACTAATTTATACTGAAACAGAAGAGTGCCAGCAAGTGACAAGAGTGGAGCTGTAGTGGAAGGTTAGAATAGTTGAATGATGGCAGGAGGGGAAAACAGACCTGAATTTTAACCAAACTAAACACTTATCACACATATCTAAAAGGTTGTTTAAGGTCTTAAGTGACTTTAAGTTATAATATATTACCTAGACTTGTTGGTGAGACTTGTGGGAGCTGTTTTTGTACAACTTTTATAAATCAGACATAAATCTACCCAAAAAACATTTGGCTGATATAAAAACAAAATACAATGAGGTAACACAGAGAGCAGGCGAATGGAACAGCCCAACCGGCACCTATATTGAATTTTTCTGAAAACATCCTGTTGTCAACATTAGCTTATGATTTTACAGTTTTACAGGCCTCACGCTAACTGTATGGAAATCTAACTTTAATTTAACTTTGATAAAAAGTTGGCAAAAGAAAATGTACTTTATTTTGAAAAAACTAATTGCCAGGTTTTGTGTGCTTTTAGACTGTTTGCAGAGGCAGCATTAAAAAGTCAGAGTGGGTGATACATTTTTATTGTTTTATGTAAAATAAAACGTAATGTGGACATGTAGACCAGAAGGTTGGTAATATTGCTATTATCAATATTATACTTAAACAAAACTAAACCTAAAAATAAAACGAGATAAACATTTTTGTTAACTAAAATCAAAATATAAATCTGGACTTGTGAGGGTAAAAATCAAACTAACTGAAATGATTATCTGAAATTTGAAACTAAAAAAGAATCCAGATAAATGCAATATTCTTAGTTTTTATTTGTCAGCTTGATAAAATTTATTATCATAACTTGAAACATTGATAGATTTGGTTTTGGATTTGGATGTCTGTACGAGTCATCTGCTTTCCAAAAACTCTGTGTTTTTATTAGAAAAACTTCTTTTTTTTTTTGCTTATCAGCACTGATTTTTCTAAATCATGCCTTTCGCATATACCATACATACAATAATAATTAAAAAGACTGAAACTAATAAAAACTAAACTGGAAAGAACAATGACACAAGTCAGAAATGAAAAAAAAGAAAAAAAGAAAGAAAATACAAAACTACAATATAATCTGACGATTTTAAGCTAACCTGAATAGCTAATATACAAAAATGTGTGTTTGGTATACTTACAGGTAAGTAGAGTGGAGTTAAGTATGGGTATAATTCAGATGTTTAGCATTTGGTCCCTTAAAACATGTCAGATTTGACCTGTTTCAACTCTTAAATCATTATCAGGACAAAGACACACAGTGTGCAATTTTGAGTGTGCTATAGCTAGGTTTCTATCCAAAAGCAAATTTGAACACAATTTAGAGCGAAGGTAGATTTACTGGGAAGAACACTGTAGCTGAATATTTTAGATGAAAGGTTTTTTGTTTGTTTGTGTTTTTTCCTGTAACATGATCTTTGAACGCTAATGTGACAATAACCATTAAATGTACTGTAACTGTGTGTTGGTTTTATTTGAAAATAAGCATGCCACTTTCCAGTAAGGCTACATTTCAGCATTCAATCAAATACCAACTCTTCAAATTTTCATTTTCAAGACAGAGAAACAGAAAATGGGTCATTTTTAACCTCTACATTATAATGCATAGTGAAATTTAGTAACAGTAACAGATTTGGATAAAAATGAACAAAATAGAATCTCAGACCAATCCCCAGCATTGACATTCATTGGTATTACTAAAACATACAGAGTTATAGATGTTAGCCTACTCAGAATAATAAAATGTTGGCTATAGATAAACTAAATGACTGAGGCACTATAAATGCTGTTTTTTGTTGTTTATTTATTCAGCCTTTTGTATCAGGAAAAGGAAAACAACGAATTCTTCATTATAACAACTGAACCATTTTCAGCTCTTTATCGCCCTGTCTTTAGCAAGTACAAAATTGGTCTGATGCAACAAGTGAAGATCAACCACTGCCACTGTTATACAACAACACAACAGGCAATACTATATTGCTTACATTACTGTAACTAAATAATAACCAAATCAATTATTATTTGACAAAGTTACAGATATACTAACTGGGAAAACACTGGGATTCAGCCCCTAAAAATCAAAAACTAGCTGATCTCCTGTTCATGCTGGGTACAACTAATAGCAGTTCCACACAGCAGTCTAAGAATAGCAGAAGAGAAGACTAACCAAATGATTTTTATGGTCCAGGTGCTGATACTTTTTGATCAAGGTACATAGACAGTTCCCTACCTGTGAATCTAGTCCTTCAGCATTTTTCATCTAAGTTCAATTTTCTTGACTATTTTTGCAACAAAGAGAGGGAAACAAACTCTTGCTCGGTGGTTCATCACAACTTATATGGTCACCTGGAATACACCGCTGGCACTGTACATGTGAAAGGTTACATCCATCCGCTTTTATTTCCCTGCATCATTTCTATGCATTTGTAATCAGTTTCAATTCATTTATTCTGTAATTGAAGCTTGTGAAGTGAAGAATATGAAAGGTAATCTTTTGTTTGTCTTTTTTTTATCTTTTAATTGTGACTAACTGGAGTTTGCTTTTCATTCCTACAAGTGGAGTGTCAGAAAAGGAAACGTGTGCTTTTGTAATGCTTAGCGGTGGCTTATGTCGCATCAAGAGCATCTTGTCTGTGTGGTACACACAAGCAAACTCAACGTGCACCTTCATCCTGGATGTGTATCAGCTGTGTCTACTGTATCCCATTGACACGTTGAAATTCAGTTCTTTGATAAGTGAGCTCATACACACTCTTACACAAACATATTTTCACTGTGTATAATGCTTTGGTGTAAGACTAACCCTGTTTCATGAGACAAAACCTTCACTGTTGCATCCATGACTTCCCGTCACCTGAGTTGGTTGGTCCGATGTTCTTTCCTGCTTCACGCATGGCCTTCGGCTTCATATCACTATTCTTGTGCCTTGTTTAACTACTGTAAATGGTGAATGTTTGTAAAGTACAGATGGGGATAAAAAAAAAAAAGAACAATTAATCATACTGACTTACATTAAAGATATAAGTTGAAAAAAGTATTTAAGATTATAATAATGAATAGGCTGCAGAGCTTTTCTAGTGCTGAACAGCTATGTTTGGTAATGCCAGGGCAGCTTTGCGGTATACTGTATCTATAATTATGGACATTTTGGATGTTTTCTGTACAGTAGAATTTGCAAATGTATATGCAGCCTTTTGGAAATAAATGTACAGTTGAAAGATCAACTTGTCTCAAGTTATTTTTCATTTTCCGTTGGCTAATGCACATGGGATGATTCAACACACTGGGGGGTTGGTGGGTGACAGTAATACCCTCCTCTCTAGGGGACTGTAGTTGTGATGAAAATGAAGGGGTTGTGCTTGCAGGCATTGCTTTATTTTTTGTTGATGTAACCAAACTGAAACAAGCAGTCTACGAGGTGCCGGGGGGAAAATGTCAGATTTGTATTCTCTAAAGTGTTCAGTTTGAGTGTACATGTTTATTCAGGAGAATATAGTTTGGCTTTCGTATTTACTTATTTATTTATTTATTTTATCCCCAGCGACATCGCGGGTCAGAGTCTGTAACATGTAGTATTTGCTGAGTTGTGGGCTCTGCACCAAATGTGTCATCTGCACTGTTTTAGGTTTGTGGAGCTGAAAAGGCTGACAAATGACAATCACGATGTAGCCATGTCCAAAGGCTTTTCACCTGTTGAACTCTCAAAATGGCTCTAAATAGCATGAATATTGTTCAGAACTGAAGAAGGCTTTTAACAAATGATTGAGATGATAATTTCATTTCACTTAAAGTGTTTATGAGGTAATAAATTAAGTGAGAAGTGAAATGACTTTTATGCAGTCTTTGTGAATCAGTGAAGTTTTCTCTTCGCTTTAGAGGAAATTGAGGTTTAAGGCATCCCCAAAAGTTGATTCTGATGAACATACATTTGGGGACCAATTGGTCATGAGAATTTGCATATCAATGATCTAGGAACTGACCTCCCAGCCTATTGTTCCTTCAGTGGTGCTAGTTTCAGTCATTATGCAAGTGTACTGTTTATAGGATTGGGGAAACCTGCAGTCAGCTGAGACTGAAGAAATCACGATGAGTGGTGAAACGTTACAACATTATGTTAACACTATGAGTCTATGAGTTAAAAAGAATCATGCACTCACATTGGGTGGATCTAATTGTAATTTCATAATTTCTACTAGCATCAGCATTTCCCGTGAAATGCTGGTTCACAGCCACAGGCCATGGTATTTCATGCTTGTTGTGGCAAATGCAGCCTGGAGCTGCTAGCCTCAAGCGGAGATGAAGATTGTTCTGCTAAGATCACTAATCCAGCATTACATTGAGATTTTATGAATAGTATTACAAGAGACCTTTCTAGAAACAGCTTCTATGGAGTTCTGCTTTAATGTGCCTTGCATACTCTGAATGTGGGGGTTTTCTGTCCAAAAAATGTTTGTTTTTATACATACCTGAGTTCAGTAGGCAAACTCACTAATCCGTGTGGCTGACTGACTCACATGGGGGAATGTACGACAGGGTGTGTCTTAGACTGCCAGTACTGTAGTGATCTGAATTTTGTAAAGATGAAATTCTGCCATACCTGTTAGCTGATCTGTGTTTGGATTAAAACAATTAATGAACAAATACAGAAAGAACAAAGCGATTCAGTTCTATATCTGGTATTTGTGTGGCACATCGCATGGCATTTATTGTCTATGAAGAAATAGGGAAATATTTGAATATATGTGAGAACTGACAAAAAGTGAGATTTAAACAACTATCAAGAGAACACTTTCTTGCACACGGCTGTAAGTCACTAGCGACTAGCTTTAGTTTCTAATATTTGCAGTGTCTGTTAGTTTTGATGGACTTTGGAATACGAATGGGGTGAATGAGTTTGATGTTACTTGTACATGTGCCATTATACTGGCAGCAACAATGGAGTCAGTAAAAACTCTGTCCTAGTTTGGGTTTGCAGTGTGTACAATCTACTGGTAACATCAGAAAACGCTTCAGTTAGTGTAGCTGACGGTTACTAACCTGGTGTGATTTTAATTGTTATTGTTTTTGGAAGCATCATTAGCTGTATATGTGTATAAGCTGATAAGAGTAACGCTAGCATGTGAATCAAAAATGTATTAATGTATAAACAAATATCAGTTTATAATTGTCTCTGAATAATGGGGAAGGCTGAAGATAACACAAGAGTGGACAGACTCCTGTTGCTTTCATATAATGTGCAGGCCAGTTACACATAAGCCACATTTCCAGTTCTTTAACTGAATTTAATCAGTGTAACTGTGTCATATAATTGTTCAGTCATTAAACACTCTGATGTTTCGGACTGCATGTTTAAAGTATTGCTGTTATTGCTGTGCATTTTGTTTTTAAAGCATATTTCCAATCACTGCATGTAATGTTTAAGAAGGTTCAGGTTGACACAATGGTTGCATTTAATGAATTGCTTCTTATCCACTTCTATTTGTTAGTCTTTAATCCCATGGAGTTGCTGTAGCATATATTCTAGCAGCTGTTTCACGGTTAAAAACCCTGCTAATGATTTCTGACCACTGAAAATAAAGGGATAAAGGGATTGGATAAGTGGAAGAGAAGGGATGGATGGAAATAAAGGGATTTTATTCTGATGTGGGTTAGGAAATACTGACTTTGTATTAACATAATGCAGCTCTTAGTAGAATATGACCATCCATCCATCCCATCCATCCATTTTCGTCCGCTTTGTCCGGGGCCGGGTCGCGGGGGCAGCAGCCTAAGCAAAGAGGCCCAGACCTCCCTCTCCCCAGCCACCTCCTCCAGCTTATCCGGGGGAATACCAAGGCGTTCCCAGGCCAGCCGAGAGATATAATCTCTCCAGCGTGTCCTGGGTCTGCCCCGGGGCCTCCTCCCGGTGGGACATGCCTGGAACACCTCACCCAGGAGGCGCCCAGGGGGCATCCTTGTCAGATGCCCGAACCACCTCAGCTGGCTCCTTTCGATGTGGAGCAGCAGCTGCTCTACTCCGAGCCCCTCCCGGATGGCCGAACTTCTCACCCTATCTCTAAGGGAGAGGCCAGCCACCCTTCGGAGGAAGCTCATTTCTGCCGCTTGTATCCGCGATCTCGTTCTTTCGGTCACTACCCACAGCTCGTGGCCATAGGTGAGGGTAGGGACGTAGATCGACCGGTAAATTGAGAGCTTCGCTTTTACACTCAGCTCCCTCTTCACCACGACGGACCGGTGCAGCGTCCGCATTACTGCAGCTGCAGCCCCAATCCGTCTGTCGATCTCCGGCTCCCTTCTCCCATCACTCGCGAACAAGACCCCGAGATACTTGAACTCCTCCAATTGGGGCAGGAACTCATCCCCGACCCGGAGTGGGCACTCCACCCTTTTCCGGCTGAGAACCATGGCCTCAGATTTGGAGGTGCTGATCCTCATTCCCGCTGCTTCACACTCGGCTGCGAACCGCTCCAGTGCGAGCTGGAGGCCCCCACCCGATGAAGCCAACAGAACCACATCATCTGCAAAAATCAGAGATGAGATTCTGAGGCCACCAAAGCGAAAGCCCTCCGCCACTTGGCTGCGCCTAGAAATCCTGTCCATAAAAATTATGAACAGAACCGGAGACAAAGGGCAGCCCTGGCGGAGCCCATCACCCACCGGGAACGAGTCCGACTTATTGCCGGCAATGCGAACCAAGCTCTTGCAACGGTTGTATAGGGATCGAATGGCCCGTAGCAATGGGCCAGACACCCCATATTCCCGCAACACCTCCCACAGGACACCCCGAGGGACACGGTCGAATGCCTTCTCCAAGTCCACAAAACACATGTAGACTGGTTGGGCAAACTCCCATGCACCCTCAAGTATCCTGGAGAGGATAAAGAGCTGGTCCAGTGTTCCGCGACCAGGACGAAAACCGCATTGTTCCTCCTGTATCCGAGGTTCGACTAACGGACGAACTCTCCTTTCCAGTACCCTGGCATAGACTTTCCCAGGGAGGCTGAGGAGTGTGATCCCCCTGTAGTTGGAACACACCCTCCGGTCCCCTTTCTTGAAGATGGGGACCACCACCCCGGTCTGCCAGTCCACAGGTACTGCCCCTGATCTCCACGCAACATTGCAGAGGCGTGTCAACCAGGACAGCCCTACAACGTCCAGAGCCTTCAGGAACTCGGGGCGGACCTCATCAACACCAGGGGCTCTGCCACCAAGGAGTTGTTTAACTGCCTCAGTGACCTCGCCCCCGGAAATTGGCGGGTCATTCCCCTCATCCCCAGACTCTGCTTCCTCCTCGGAAGACGTGTCAGTGGGATTAAGGAGGTCCTCGAAGTATTCCTTCCACCGCCTGACAATTTTCTCAGTCGACGTCAGCAGCGCTCCGCCAGCACTATACACAGTGCAGGTAGAGCACCGCTTTCCCCTCCTGAGACGTCTGACGGTTTGCCAGAATCTCTTCGAGGCAGCCCGAAAGTCTTTTTCCATGGCCTCTCCGAACTCCTCCCACACCCGAGTTTTTGCTTCAGCCACTGCCCGAGCCGCATTCCGCTTGGCCTGTCGATACCTGTCGGCTGCCTCCGGAGTCCCACAGGCTAACCAAGCCCGATAGGACTCCTTCTTCAGCCTGGTGGCTCCCTTCACCTCTGGTGTCCACCATTTGGTTCGGGGATTACCACCACGGCAGGCACCAACCACCTTGCGGCCGCAGCTCAATGCAGCAGCTTCGGCAATGGAGACGCTGAACATGGTCCATTCGGACTCAATGTCCCCAGTCTCCCTCGGAATGCTGTTGAAGCTCTGCCGGAGGTGTGCGTTGAAGATCCCGCGGACTGGGGCCTCTGCTAGACGTTCCCAGCACACCCTCACTACGCGTTTAGGTGCACCAGGTCTGTCCAGCGTCTTCCCCCGCCACCTGATCCAACTCACCACCAGAATATGACCAGTTATACTGAATAGGTTTAAAGTATCAGAAATAAAACCTGCTGCATGTAAAAGTTGATTTGAGGCACAGTTGCCAGTACATTCAAGTAATCCGCCAGCATGTAAACTGAGTTGTATGGACTTTTCCAACTATACTGTCTATAAATTATTTAGCTAGATTTTACATTTTTAGAGCAATCATAGCTTCTTCAATTCCCCAGAGGTTAGAGGAGATTGTGGTTTAAAGTATGATAGTTCCCATTCATAAAGCTCAGGAAGTAAAGGTATGAGTAATAGGCAAAAGATT